AGAGAAATACCAACAACTGAATTTTGTCAGAACACCAAGGACCGAGATCAACAGAGAGGCATGAAGGCCTAGGTCAGGGCTATTCAACTGGCAGCCCGCTGGCCAAATCTGACCCGCAGAGGTCTATCAAGAAGCTCGCGGAACACCAACAAACTGTGTGGTATTAATGATCTTTCTATGCTGGAGCTCCAGTCTCCGGCCCGCGACGATCCCCATTTTCCAACTGTTTGGCCCCTGAGTAAACTTAGTTAAATGACCCTAGCCTAGGTCATCTGGTAAAGCACAAAGTGATGACCACTATAAAGACATTTATTGAGCAAAAATAAACCTGAGCATAAAGACCCATGCTCAAAGGTTCTGGGTTTGAATCCGCATTGACTGGTTTTTTTTTCAACATCTTCTTTGACTCCCAGGTTGCCCCCAGCCTAAAATTAGTACCAGGTTAAACCGTATGAATTGTTGAATTAGAAATCGACATCACAACACTCGTGACACCCCCATAAGCGCTCCGTTCCCATCTTCAGCAGCAAGCGAAGAGTTCCAGTTCCGATGGCACCAGTAACTGTCCGTATATACGTCACGCCTTTCCCTATGAGTGTTGGGCTCTTTGAGTCAGATCATCCCCTGTAACTCCTCGAAAGAAACTTACTTACTCCAAACATGTCGACCTTCTATGTGACTACCAGAAAAATCCCGTAGAAACAACACACCACACTCAAACACACATCCACCTAAGGACGATCCTGTAGAAAGAACACTACACAAATCACTATCTACAACAGACGATCATCCAATACAAAAAGAACTACCGACCCTATTAAAAGTATAACTGTTTTACCGATTATGTGAAAGAACCTACTCACCATCAACAGTTCTCAGACGCCAAGTGAGACCACCCACTGACGCGCGATCTAGTATAAAGAACCTACCATCCAAAGTTCTCAACCACCCAGTGAGACTAACCACTGAGGAACAATCCACCTACTATCAACAGTTCTTAATCACCCATGAGAGTGGCATTTCCACCGATAGACGATCCTGTAGAAACAACTCAACCCACCTACCATCAAATTTTATCAACCACTCAGCGAGACGACCCACTGACGATCGATCTTGTAGAAAGAAGCAGCTTACCTTCGTACCATCAAAAGTTCCCAACAAACTCAGCGAGACGACCCACTACCGACGACCTTGTAGAAAGAAAGCATACCATCGTATCAAAGTTCTCAACTTAGCAGACGACCCACTGACGAACGATCTTGTAGAGAGAGCAGCTACCATCGTACCATCAACAGTTCTCAACAACTCAGCGAGACGACCCACTGACGAACGATCTTGTAGAAAGAAGCAGCTTACCAGTACATCAAAAGTTCCCAACAACTCAGCGAGACGAACCCCTGACGACCGATCTTGTAGAAAGAGCAGCTTACCATCGTCATCAAATTTCTCAAACACCCAGTGAGACGACCCACTGACGAACCACTGAGAAAGAAGCAGCTTACCATCGTACCATCAAAATTTTCTCAACAACTCAGCGAGACGACCCACTGACGAACGATCTTGTAGAAAGAAGCAGCTTACCATCGTACCATCAAAAGTTCCCAACAACTCAGCGAGACGACCCACTGACGACCGATCTTGTAGAAAGAAGCAGCTTACCATCGTACCATCAAAAGTTCTCAACAACTCAGCGAGACGACCCACTGACGAACGATCTTGTAGAAAGAAGCAGCTTACCATCGTACCATCAAAAGTTCTCAACAACTCAGCGAGACGACCCACTGACGAACGATCTTGTAGAAAGAAGCTAGCATCAAATGTTATCAACCACCCAGTGAAACGACCTATTGACGAACGATCTTGTAGAAAGAAGCAGCTTACTATCATATCATCAAGAGTTCTAATCATCTCAGTGAGACGATCCACTGACAGACGATCTTGTAGAACAAACTTAAAAGTAAGTAAACGTAAAGGATCCTTTTCTAATAATTTCAGGCGTATTGGGTATATAGGGCTAGACCTATATTTTATAGACCAAATGGCACTTAGTGGGTGATGTGGTCACATCAACGTCTGCCACCTTTACTTCCCAGGACTGCACTTGGTACCCAGAAGAGAAAAAAAACTACTTACCATCAAGAATTCTCAACCACTCAGTGAGACGACCTACTGGCGGACGATTATGAAGAAACAACCCACCTACCATCAACAGTTCTCAGCAACCACCCAGTGTGAGTCAGCCCACCCAACGACCGCCCAACCATCACGTCTGCTCCACGTCTGATTAGCAGACGGCAAACGGTTTCAATAAGCACGTGAAGATACTATTTTTAGTTCTAATATAAACATTTGAAAAAACAAGGAACTTTATGATTTTATTATTAAATTTGCTCAAAATTGTCCACATTTCATCCAGTTATTTACCATTACGGTTAAAAAATTTTATTGATAATAAATTGTTGATATGGTGATCGTCTGCGGTTTGGATAACCCGGAAGTATAATCGTAGACTAATGGCCGACAGCTGAGATCTTGCAATTTACTGACACTACTACGGTTTCATCGATAACGAAAACATTACTTCGTAGAATAACTTTTTTACTACCTACATTACTGTTAGTGTTAGTTACGAAAAGTACTGATAAAACGGAATCTCATTTATGGAAAACTTTCATAGCTATCGCTCATCAAATATACAGTATTCAGTATAAGATACATAGAATTAGAGATAGCAAAAGGAAAAATGTTGCAGTTAATGAACTTAATGCGTTATTTTAGTTATCAGATTATCACTTTTTTAAAAATTGCATATTATAATTTCATGAAAAAATTGATTTACATTATATTCAGAAAAGGATATAATTGCCTGCACCTCTCACAATTATTATTTTAAAAAAAGGAGAGAAGATAAAACAGTGGTAATTTTTTCACAACAATTTTTTGCTATCTTTAGACCCAATCAGTTATAGTAAAAAGCAAAAATAGTCTAGTATCCTTCAAAAAGTTTTATCTTCCCCACTTAAACTGTTGTTTTCCTCTTGTATAGTGTCATTTGCTGTTGACCTTTCACTTTAACAGAACTTTCTTCAGCAAGGTATTCATACTGTCTTTGTATATGACATCTTAGCAACTTGTCAGCTACAGTGAAAAAAAATGTTTAGAATGCTAGCTTGATCAAACAAAACCTGTCCCAATGGCTTTATTGCAAATAAGTAAAAGGTACTATCCACCACAGCGAGCCACACTAAAACGTTACAACGGGTATTGAGCGAGTGGATGACCTCGGAAAATATGGAGTGATGGCATTAAGAACAGCCTTACAGAAATGAACATCAGTCTTAATAGGGCTCTTGACAGAGCTCATCAACGAACATTACATCTCCCCCCGACAATTTGATGAGGTAAAAGGTGGAAGAGAAGAAGAAGTGAAAGGTATCTCATTTTTTTTCTGAGTGATGTTTACCACATTACTCAATAAGTTTTGATGGGTCTGTAGAAAAAAAGTCTGGCATCATAGACCTGTTGTGTTACTGGCATAAAAAGGATCCCTTTAATTCACTGACTAAATTGATCAGTTGTGGCAGAATAAAAGTTCAGAAATCTTTCAAACGGCAACCCCAGAGAACGCAGTCTATTGTGTGCTTACTATGCTTGATACTGTGACCGCAGGGGGCAAAATCATGTTTGTTTACATTCTGATAATACTGTTCTTTAATGTTGAATACTGTGTCAGGTTAAATTAAGCCATAATCCCAACCCCCACACTCAGACAAATTTAGCCATCACCCCAACTCCCACACTCAGACAATATTAAAGAACATTATAAACAAGCAAAGGATTGCGTCCCTTACTGTCGCTGTTTGTAGTAGTGTCTAAAGTGTTTTTCTGCAGACAGCAGTCTCCACCTCCCTGATCAGAAGGATGTGTCTGATTGCCTCCAACAACCTCTTTAATAATCTGAGGTGCTCTTTCAGAATGGTCATTTATCAGTACCACAATCATCGTCTTTGCAAATTGGGAATTCCTGTGCGTGCTCAGTCCTCTGCTGTAGCAGCCACTCCATGGGCCTCTACTGATAGTTACCTTGAGATGTTGGTAATAGTATCTCCAGCTATCTTCCAAAAGCGGTCCTAAATTATCGAGGCTGTCTAGTTTAGCCCCAATCCATGCCGCGCATAGCGGCGTGGAAGATATTTTCGGCGGTAATCGCCAGGAAGTGCCCAATTTAAGTCATCGCGAGTATGCAATTTATATGTGACTGAGGCCCTGTTAGGTATATTTTCAGCCTCGATAATTTGGGACCGTTTTTCGGAAGATAGCTGTATCTCCTGTCTTTACCTCGAAGACAGCATAGACATGCTTCACCGAGCTTAACTTCTCAGTCACGCAGTATTGTTAGCATCAGAGATTAAACATTATCCGCAAACTTAGTCTGTACATCATTGATTATACCAGCTGTGTCCATGCTTCTTCCCATTTGCATTGGTGCATTGATAGTCTGCTCTTTTATTACCATTTACTCCTGCATGCCTAAGTCATTAGATCCAGATGATGAAGGTTAACTGCAACTTCTGAAGGCTTTCTACCCATTCAGAGAGTAAACTCCATATAAGTGTTGGTTTCCCCTCTAGTGGAGTCAGTCTGCAAGAGGTAAATTAAAATTTTTTTTTTTTTGGCTGAAGGAGACTAATCACAATCCTGTGTGTGTGCACACAGACACATGTATATCTTTAGTGAAAACACAAAAATGCAAAAAGGAAGATTAAAAAATAAAACAAATGGGATGCAAAAAAGGAAAATGAAAAAGTGAAATGCAAATTAAATGCACAAAATAAGATGAAAAAAGATAAAACATAAATATGATGCAAACAAGTCAAAAAGATAAAACATATACAGGCAGTATATTACATTACAACACTCTACCTTGACAATTGATGGCAGTAATTACTCTTTTATATGGAAGATAATCATCATTTTTGTTTTTCAAAACAGGCTCTAAGATGGGAAATTTATTACGTATTTTACTCAACAACGACCAGACAACAAAATCATCGGAAAACATATTTGTTGATTTTGAAAGTATGTATTAATGCATAATCTTGATAATTTTGTTGTTGTTTTGTTATAACTATGTTAAGATTACTTTGTCTTGATGGGCTTAATAGTTTTCATCATACTTGTTATGTCCCATATCAACACATGGTTGGAATACTAGGACGAGTTTAGAAAATTTACAAAAATTATTAGTGTCAAATGATCTCACACATCTCCCTTATGTCTTCGGTAGTAAGACAAATATCTAGCCTTCTCAGACAAGGGTTTACAAAAAAAAAAATCAGGTCAGAAGTGCAAGTCTGGAAATTATAAAGAGTCTGTCATAAGGCCTTTGCTATGGCAGATTTTTCAGATAAGAAAGCCTACCCATGGGTAGATATTACTCATTGTCTTCAATGGATTTCTAGTGGAAATAAATTCTATACAAATGAATGCTAGGATACACTGTCATTTTGGATGCCTTCATTTGCAACATTTTTTTGATTTATTGCATTTATGTTAATAATTTCTTAATTCAGCTCAGCAACAATCGCCCCTGTTTGTGATATCTTTTTGTACAAAACAAACTTTGCTGGAGTTATTTAGTATGATCAGACTTCTTCTATATTATTACTTAATAGGGCTTTTGGAGCATAGAGTGCCAGTTTGCAGCTGTGTTGCAATATCTACTTTTCCAGTTTCAGCAAAACCTTTTATGGCATGCTTAAGAATTAAAAGGTCTATTCTTTTGACCCCAAGCATCGGCCCAAGAACCGACATGAGGGTATGGTCTGACTAAATGCAAGAAGTGCAGTCGCATGTAATCTGTCGTTGGATACACATGAAAAATAACGCAGGCACGTGTAATGAGTTGTGGGAAAGGGGAGCGGGGGATGCACCTTCTCTGCAGATTGTGTCAACCACAAAATAATAAATTATCAAAAACAGTAAAGAAAGAAAGATAGCTACAACTGTAGGGTCAAAAAGTTCTTGCAGCTGATGCAGTAGAGTATATGTTATGTCACATTGTTTACAATAACAGTACATACATTGGCTGAATGTGTGTGTTTTATATACAGTTTGTATAATCCATTTAAATGAAAATAGTGTTAAAAAATATTAATTTGATTTATGACCAGTTCCACGCTGAACCCGGTCGAAAGTCGAAGAAAGCCTGTATATAACTTGGTTATCTTTGATGTTCCCCTACTTAATCTCCTTTTGCCTGTTTGGTGGCTTGTTTAGATGTTCAACCAACAGAGGCAGAACAGCATGTTTGGCAACAAGTCAAGACAGTCTTGGATTCAGCACAACAGATTCTGGTAGAGCTGCATCAATACAGAGGTGCCACAGAAAATATAAGGCTGGTTAGTACTTTTAAAAACTATTTCTTCATTAATGGGTAAGTTATTTCTGTGTTAGGTACTGTGTGTGGCTCTGAGTACGGGGTTTGATACTCATGACACACTGTTTAGAAGGAGAGCTTTTTTGGGATGTATGGGTAGTCTTCTTCTTCTTCTTCACGTTTACCGGCAGTAAACTCCAGTGGAAAATCCTGGTTGTTCATCCTCATTTGGTCTTTAGTCTTGTTCCAGAACCTGAGTGTTGCATGCACATCCATTTTACAGGATCTGATTTATTTGTATGCAGATTGTTGGTTCCTTGCCCTCAGGTAGATGCACTCTGACTTCGAAGAAAACCCCAGTTAGTCGACTCTTATGACATGTGCATGTTGGAGAGGCAGTGGATCCATTCTTGTTTTCCCCACAATGGGAACCTGGAACCCACACAGGAATTGGGTAGTGATACACAGGTCAATAAACATGATTGATTGTGGTTCACCATCTCAGATGAATACCAAAATCTTGTATCGGGTGAAAATAAATTCATAAAGAGAACTAATTACTCACATCAGAAGCAGTTACTCTGAATTCTTTGGGCATGAGGAAATCCAGAATTGGACAGTTGGCCATCAGAGTAAGGAAAATCTTTATTCCAAATGATCGGCAGTGCACAAGACATAACTGGACAGATGTGGTTGCCACTGTCACACAGCATTGGTTATAAGAAAAATGTTAACTTAATGTAGCATTTCAAGAACAGTTAAAATCATAAACGGAAATCACATTCATTTTCAGGCAATTTCAAATCCTAATATAGAAGACTTGCAAGACAAAGCCTGGCAGACAGTGACGCCGCTAGTTTCCAAGTTGAAAGTTTTCTTTGAGTTTTCCCTACAGTTGGGTAAGTGCCTTCATGTATTTGTTCACTGACCTGCAGAATATATAGCAATAACCTCCACCCCAGTCTTTTAAAAAAAAATAAATGTTATTTTTTTTAAAAAAAGAGAAAAAAATGCCAACCACTATTAAAATCTTGGAGAAAAACATCCATGTAAATCTAAAGTGTCAAATAACTTGAAAGAAACAAGAAACAGTCACCAGCAATTGGTAATTTAGTGTCCAAATATGGTTGTTTTTGTCTTAATAATATCATTTTTTTGTCTGATGTTGGACAAGGCACAACGGAGATTACTCTCCACGTGAAGCTGGCCACTCTGTATTTGTTTTCATGAATTAGGTTTTGATTTATAATTCAACTGCTGGCTTCTACCATTGTTGTGGTGGTTTGGGGAAGCAAGGGTGCTGAAAATGTGTTGGTGCACCACAACTAGGACTCATACTGGTCAAAGGTCAGCATTCCCTTCGAACTCGGGGATCATCTGACTGAGAGACGAGGAACCACATCTGCGTACAAATAGGCTACATCTGTGAAAATGGATGTGCATGCTACACTCAAGTCCGGGAGCAAAACAAAAGACGAGAATTGGGCAAACAATCAGCAATCTCTGCCCGAGTCTGCAGTCAGTGAACATAAAAAAAGGTAGAAGAATGATGATCTCAGTCTCAGAGCACACAGAATTTTTTTTGGCTTTCTTGACAATTGTGGATGCTTTTATGGCAGTGTTGTAGTCTTTGTTTGGCAGTAAGGCAGACATTTATGATAATGTTGTGGGCTTTGGTGATGGTATGAAGTTATTTATTGACATTGTTATAGTCTTTTGTGATCATGTTGTGGGATTTGGTTATAGTATGGAGTGCTTTATTGGCAGTATTGTAGTCTTTTGTGATCATGTTGTGGGCTTTGGTGATGGTATGGAGTGCTTTATTGATAGTATTGTAGTCTTTTATGATCATGTTGTGGGCTTTGATGATAGTATGGAGTGATTTATTGACAGTATTGTAGTCTTTTGTGATCATGTTGTGGGCTTTGGTGATGGTATGGAGTGATTTATTGGCAGTATTGTAGTCTTTTGTGATCACGTTGTGGCTTTGGTGATGGTATGGAGTGCTTTATTGGCAGTGTTGTAGTCTTTTGTGATCATGTTGTGGGCTTTTATTGACAGAGATGATTATACCAGAGTTGCTGAGAGTGTTGTGTTCTGAAGATCTGACTCCCAGGGATCATCTTGAGCAGCAGCAGGCCTTGTTTAAACAATTTGCTGAGATCCTTGATTTTGTGCTCAAATTTGATGACTTGAAGGTAAGCATGCATGGCAATGTGGGTACTCAAATTTGGCGACTTAAACGTACTTGGCTATGTTAAAACATACTTGGCTGTATTAGTACTCAAATTTAATGACTTGATATGAATGCTTCCTTGTGTATATATTCAAATTTGATAACTGAATATGCTGGTACTCAAATTTGAGTATTGTAAAGTAGGCATTCTTTGCTGTTTAGTAAGGTCAGAAGTTGTAAGGGTCCTTTGGCACAACAGGCTAATAGTGCTAGACCTATGTTTTTATAGACCAGTGGGCGCTCAGTTGGGGAAGTGGTTAAAATCATGCCAGTCTTTGGCTGTGTAAGTATTCTTCTCCTTCTTGTTCACCGGCTGTGAACTCTGGCAGAAGGTTCAGGACTCTGGTCCTGTACCAGAACCAGAGTGTTGGGTGGGTGCACATCCGTTCTAAAATCTGACTCATTTGTATGAAGACTTATTTCCTTGCCTCTCTGGCAGATGCACTCCAACTTCAAAGGAAGCTCCCAATTAGTCAACTCTTAATGACATGCTTTTGGGTAGGCAGTGGGTTTATTCTTGTTAAGTGAGGGTACTCAAATGTGGTAAGCTTCAGTAGGCGGTGCAAGTAATCAGATTTAATTACTTCAGGGTAGTCATGCCTGGGTGCAGGTTTACGGATGGCAGGAGTGGGATTAGAGCTATCTAGTATTTGATGCCTGCATGTGTGAGTCAAGTTTTTGTTGTTTTGTTTATTTCTTTTGTTGTCACTTCTCTTCTTACCAGATGTGTGTTATAATCGAAAGAGTATTCAAGTTTGTAAAGTTGACATTGCCCCTGTGTTAGTGGTGTTGTAAAGTTGACATTGCCCCCTGTGTTAGTGGTGTTGTAAAGTTGACATTGCCCCTGTGTTTAGTGGTGATGTAAAGTTGCCATTGCCCCTGTGTTAGTGGTGTTGTAAAGTTGACATTGTCCCCTGTGGTAGTGGTGTTGTAAAGTTGACATTGCCCCATGTATTAGTGGTGTTGTAAAGTTGACATTTCCCCCTGTGTTAGTGGTGCTGTAAAGTTGACATTTCTTCTGTGTTAGTGGTGTTGTAAAATTGACATTGCCCCTGTGTTAGTGGTGCTGTAAAGTTGACATTTCCCCTGTGCTAGTGGTGTTGTAAAGTTGACATTGCCCCCTGTGTTAGTGGTGTTGTAAAGTTGACATTGCCCCAGTGTTAGTGGTGTTGTAAAGTTGACATTGCTCCCTGTGTTAGTGGTGTTGTAAAGTTGACATTGCCCCCTGTGTTAGTGGTGTTGTAAAGTTGACATTGCCCTCAGTGTTAGTGGTGTTGTAAAGTTGACATTGCCCTCAGTGTTAGTGGTGTTGTAAAGTTGACATTGCCCCTGTGTTAGTGGTGTTGTAAAGTTGACATTGCCCCCTGTGTTAGTGGTGTTGTAAAGTTGACATTGCCCCTGTGTTAGTGGTGTTGTAAAGTTGACATTGCCCCTGTGTTAGTGGTGTTGTAAAGTTTACATTGCTCCTGTGTTAGTGGTGTTGTAAAGTTGACATTGCCCCCTGTGTTAGTGGTGTTGTAAAGTTGACATTGCCCCTGTGTTAGTGGTGTTGTGAAGTTGACATTGCGCCCTGTGTTAGTGGTGTTGTAAAGTTTACATTGTCCCCTGTGTTAGTGGTGTTGTAAAGTTGACATTGCCCCTGTGTTAGTTGAGTTGTAAAGTTGACATTGCCCCTGTGTTAGTTGAGTTGTAAAGTTGACATTGCCCCCTGTGTTAGTGGTGTTCTAAAGTTGACATTGCCCCTGTGTTAGTGGTGTTGTAAAGTTTACATTGCCCCTGTGTTAGTGGTGTTGTAAAGTTTACATTGCTCCTGTGTTAGTGGTGTTGTAAAGTTTACATTGCCCCCTGTGTTAGTGGTGTTGTAAAGTTTACATTGCCCCCTGTGTTAGTGGTGTTGTAAAGTTTACATTGCCCCTGTGCTAGTTGAGTTGTAAAGTTGACATTGCCCCTGTGTTAGTGGTGTTGTGAAGTTGACATTGCTCCCTGTGTTAGTGGTGTTGTAAAGTTTACATTGTCCCCTGTGTTAGTGGTGTTGTAAAGTTGACATTGCCCCTGTGTTAGTTGAGTTGTAAAGTTTACATTGTCCCCTGTGTTAGTGGTGTTGTAAAGTTGACATTGCCCCTGTGTTAGTTGAGTTGTAAAGTTTACATTGTCCCTGTGTTAGTGGTGTTGTAAAGTTGACATTGCCCCCTGTGTTAGTGGTGTTGTAAAGTTTACATTGTCCCTGTGTTAGTGGTGTTGTAAAGTTGACATTGCCCATGTGTTAGTGGTGTTGTAAAATTGACCTTGCCCCTGTGTTAGTGGTGTTGTAAAGTTGACATTGCCCCTGTGTTAGTGGTGTTGTAAAATTGACCTTGCCCCTGTGTTAGTGGTGCCCTTGTGCTAAGCAAAGAACATTAACATTACACTCTACCAGGTAAGCCATTATAGGCTTGGGGTTGCTTGTGACCTCATCCTGCAAAACACTTTACCACAAAAACCAGACATGTATAATGACCTTCGCTGCAGTTGGAGGAAATAGGGCAGAAAGGAGAAGACAGTTGTGATGACTTAGCTTAAACCTAGACATCTGGGTCTTGTGGGAAGTGAAAAATTAGGTGGGTTAGCAGAATGGGTTACAAGACTATCTGTTAGAGCAGCGCTTCTCAACCTGGGGGTCAAATGACCCTTTTACATGAGTCACAGAAGACCATTGAAAAACACATATTGACTGAAGTTATGAAGTAGTAACAGAAATAATTTGATGGTTGGATGTCACCACAATATGAGGAACTACTTCTTCTTCTTTATCTTCTTTATGTTCACCAGCTGTAAACTCTGGTGGAAAGTTCTGGTTGTTGATCCACTTTAGGACTGCAGTCCTGGTCCAGAACCTGAGTGTTGCGTGTGCATCCGTTTTACAGATCTGACTAATTTTTATGCAGACTGCTGGTTCCTTGCCTCTCAGGCAGATGCACTCCGACTTCAAAGGAAGCTCCCAAATAGTCGACTCTTACGACATGCTTTTGGGTAGGCAGTGGGTCTATTCTTGTTTTCCCTAAAATAAGGCCCCGGAACCAACACAGGGAATGAGGAACTGTATTAAAGGGGCGCGGCATTAGGAAGGTTGAGAACCCCTGTGTTAAAGTCATGAAAAAACCTTTATTTTATTTCCTCTTAGATGACCACCCCAGCTATACAGAATGACTTCAGTTACTACAGAAGAACTTTAAGCAGAAGAAAAATGGCAAATGAGGTATTTCTGTTTTATATGTGCTACTTTGATAATCTGAATTAATGGTCTAGTGGTGCATGGAACATTTCCTGCTGGACTCGTATTTTTATAGACTGGTTCACACTCACTGGGTAATAAGGTCAGAATCAGGATTGGCCACCTTTGCATTCCAGGAAATCACCGCCTGGTACCCCTTTTAAACTGTGTCAACCAAGGACCCTCCCCACCTCCAAAAAAATCCCTGGTGCTGCTTCGAACCTTAAGACATTCAGGTCAGCAAGCAACCGTTTATCCACTGGGCTGTTGAGGTTTCGGTTACTTTAGGTACCTACAAAACTATTGATAAATGTGCTTGGTTGTGTTATATATCATTGTTTTAGAGTAATTTCCACCTTTCTTTTTTTCCTGCAAGATGCACTGTAGCCAGGTGAAGAACATGCCACTTTCACTATTATTTGCACTTTTTTTTCTGCAGGATAAATGAACCTTGTTGAAGAAAAGTTGTCCGCTGTTATTGTAAATTCCACTCTTTTTCTGCAGGATAAATGAATCTTGTTGAAGAATAATTTTCCGCTGTTATTGTAAATTCCACTCTTTTTCTGCAGGGTAAGTTGAGCTTGGTGAAAAATAACTGTCCACTTTCACTGTAGCCTCCACTCTTTTTCTGCAGGGTAAGTTGGGCTTGGTGAAAAATAACTGTCCACTTTCACTGTAGCCTCCACTCCTTTTTTCTGCAGGTTAAATTGAGCTTGGTAAAAAGTAATTGTCCACTTTCACTGTAATTTCCACTCTTTTTTCTGCAGGATGAAATACAACCGGGTGAGGAGCACATGTCCAATGAACTGGCCAACAGAATGTCTTTATTCTATGCCCAGGCCACACCAATGTTGCATGCACTCAGTGAAATCACAGCCAGATTCGTCACTCAGGTTTGTTTCACTGTGCTTGATCTTTTTTATGGTTTACTTGGAAAATGGGTTTCTTCTTCTTCGTGTTCACTGGCTGTAAACTCTGGCCGAAAAGTTCTAGTTGCTCATCCACCTCTGGACGTTAGACTTCTTCCAGAACCTGTGTGTTGTGTGCACATCTGTTTTACAGATCTGACTTTTTAGTATACAGGCGGTTGGTTCCTTGCCTATCAGACAGATGCACTCTGGCTTCGAAGGAAACCCCCAATTAGTCAATTTAAAATTTTAATGACATGCTTTATCCGAAGGCAGTGGGTCTATTCTTGTTTTTCCTATCATAGGGCCCCAGAACACACATGGGGATCAGAAGAAGTTATAATTATGGCACCAGCCTGGTTTAATCTGCAGTTCAAAGCAGATTCTAGAGGTTAGCAGTGCTATTACAATGGACATATCAGGTTATGAGGGGATACCAAGCATCATCATAATGTGCCATGCGGATGCGCATAGGGGGTCATGTTTTGCCATCTCATCCGATCACCAGGCTTGTGAGTCATTTTTGCCTTCCTTTTGCTCTTTTTCTATCAGTCTTGCTACTCTCCTCCAGGTGCTCGATTTCATTCCTTTTCCTAACATGTCTGGAAAACACCTGTTGTCTTCATCTGATGTCTCAAATCAGTTTACTGTATTTATCTGTCTCCAGGCAGACTGTCTTGTTTGTTTTTCTATAATTGCATGATATTCTTTGTTTTTTCCCCCCCCCCCCCAAAAAACCACATCTTTGCTGCAAGGAAGTGTTTTCCAGCTTGCCTGCTTTTTGTCCGCTTCACATGCATATAGCAACACAGGTTGTATATAGCACTTTCTATCTATCTGTAGGATGATTGAAAAGTAACTCCCTGTTTTAAAATACTTATGCTTTATTTATTAACTGTAATTTTTTTGTTTTTTACAAGAAGTTCTATTTAAAATGTAATATTCATTGTGTGGGTCCCGGGGCTCCATTGTGGGGAAAACAAGGATAGACCCTCTGTTTCCCCAACCATTTATGGGCTTCCTTCAAGGTGTATCTGCCTAAGAGGCAAGTAACCAACAG